GCCCTGATATACAGGAAGAAAAGAGAACCGACTTAAATGTCTCTGTGGAAATTGTTACATACATGATAGTATGTGGTGTACAATAAAATACTACGTGGCAGTTAAAACAATGAGATAGTTCGAAAGTGTTGTTATGGAAAGATAGTGAACACATATCGCTAAGTGAAAAAGAAAAAGCAGTAGCATAATATAGAGGACTACAATCCTATTTTATAAGCCACAACTATGACGCGAATGTTTCTTCAGCAGATGCCTGAGCGTGTACCATGCGCCAGGCAGCACCCTAGGGACCGAGACAATCCCTGAAAACTCAGGGAACTGACACGTGACAGAGGAAGGGACAAACACAGACACAGAACTTCAGCTTAGCCTGGGGAATGCGGCAGAATGACTAATTGGGGACAGTGGCCTCTACAGCTACAGCAGGATGGCCTCTTTGAGAAGGTGACATGCAAAGTGCTCGGAGTTGAAGGATTAAAAACAGTGTGGCCAAGGGCGCCTGGGTGGCTCAGTCGGTTAAGTGTCTGCCTTCGGCTCAGGTCATGATCCCAGGGTCCTGGGGTCGAGCCCCACATTGGGCTCCTTGCTCAGCGGGGAGCCTGCTTCTCCCTCTCCCTCTGCCTGCCGCTCTGCCTACTTGTGCTCTCTCTCTGTCAAATAAATAAATAAAATCTTAAAAAAAAACAAAAAAAAAAACCCATGTGGCCACGCCAAGTATTTGAGGAGAAAACACCACAAGAGGATTTGTTAGGAACAAAGGCTGTGAGATCAGAAACAAGCTTGGCCTGGAATAGGGGAAAAGAAGTCAGAGGGTAGCACGGCTGGGTCGCAGACCTCCTCACAAGCCTGGCTGAGTTAGGGTTTTATCTGAGTGCAAAAAGCAGCCAGGAGAGAGTTTTAAGAAGGGACCCACAACAGCAGAATTTGGTTTAGAAATACCACTCTAGCTGCTGGGTAGAACAGATACGTTGCAAACCTATAGACGAACGTGTATGCAAGTGCTTTGAGAAGGTCTGGAAGTGTGCACCCCAAATTGTTCACGAGGACAGGAAGAGTGGGATTGAGGGAGATGTACACGGGGAGAGAGGGACAAAATGGGCAACTCACATTTGTTTCACGTATGCTCCCACCGTTTGAGTGTTTCGTAAGAATATACTCAGGTATTACTGAATTAAGGGTAGTCGCCCCTGAAGATATTCCAAGGAGGCTCTTCAGGACGTGATGTGAGGCCCAGGATGGTACAGCCGCCTGCCCAGTGCTTCCGGAGCCAGGACACAGCCTGCCAAGGAGGCGGTTTTAGGTTTTAGGACAGCAGGCAGATAAGGTGTTTGCTCACTGTTCCCCTCCTACTGGAAACCCCTTTGCCTTCTCCACCTGGCAGATTCCTTTTCATGTCTCAGCACAGCAGCTCCTGTGTCACTGCCTCCCCTGGGGAGTAGCCCTGCCTGTCTCCATCCGTACATCTACCACAACGCTTTCAGAACTCTGTTCTAGTCATTCGTTTCCTAGTGAACTTTGCCAAGGCCAGAACTGTCTTTTATCTACTTCTGTATCTGCAGCATCTGGTATCAGGGCCTCGCCCATAGCAGATGCCTGACAAATATTCCTTCAGTAACATTTTAAATCTTGGCCGCTGTCTACTTCAGCACCAGACACAAAGCTAGCCACTTAGCTACGGACTAGACCCCTGTCTCTGTCCACACTTTGGGCATTGACTGACCTTGGAAATCTACCCCGTTAAGAGCCAAAATAGAGGTAAGAGACCTGTGGTATGGTCTAGACTTGCATTTTCACAAAAGCGTTCACAGGGAAGCTGTGGGAAAGAGTGTTCTGGACTGGAATACATAGGAAGAAAAGCCGCATCCTCTGCTACCCCAGTGAAGAGGCATGATACATATTAGCAAACCTGAAGCCCTTCAAAGTCTTATGGTAAAGAAACCTCCTTAATCCAATGTCCCCCACACTGTTTTGGTTAAAGAACGCTTTTTTTGTTGCATACCTATTAAATCTTGCAGAATAATAACAACTGCGGCTAACGGTTACTGAGCACCTACTATGTGCCAGGCGCTATAGTGAGGCGTCTCTCATTCCCCTCATTTTACAGGTGAAGAAACTGAGACCCAGAAAGCTTAATAACTTGCCCAACGTTTGAGGATTAGATTCTGGAAAAGCCCGGACTTGAGCCTGGGCAGCCTCCCTCCAGTTAGGACATAACCTTATAGCCCCTATGCCATCTAGCACCCCAGGATACAGCTGGCTGAATGTGGTCCAGGAAACGCTGATCCAGACACAAATAGAGCTTTGAAAAGCTGCAGTGCAAACACACATATGCTTTGCCTCTCTAGGCTCTTCCTGCAAATGCAAGAAGTTATACAACAGTACTCCACTATCAGTCAAGTTCAAATCATAAACCAGAACGAAATATACTACTCTGCACAACCTGAGTCAAGTCTAAAAACAAATTACCAAACGAGTCTATGATTCAACTCAAACTCTAAGCATTCTGTGTTCCTCTGATGCCCATTTACCAAGTCAGAACTTTGAACGCTGATGATTTTTGGAGGCCTTTATTTGGCACAATAAAGACCGAATCGGACCTTATGTTTGATTGGTCTTTCAGGTTGGTAAATTCAATCAAAACTGTGACCAATAAAAGTATATACAGGCCTAGAAATAAATCCTAATATTGATGGTCAGTTGATGTTTGCCAAGAAAGCCATGACAATTCAATGGGCGGAGGGGGGAGCGAGTCTTTTCAACAAATGGTACTGAGAAGTGGATTTCCGCATGCAAAGAATGAGGTGGGACACCTTCCTCACACCATATTCAAAAATTAACTCAAAATGGATCAAAGACCCAAATGTAAGAGCAAAAACTATAAAACTCGTAGAAGAAAACATAGGAGCAAGTCTTTGTGACCTTGGATTAGGCAAACAACCCTTAGATACACACCAAAAACACAAATGACAAAAGAAAAAAAAACAGGGGCGTGGCTCAGTCAGTTAAGGGTCTGCCTTCGGCTCAGGTCATGATCCCGGGGTCCTGGGATGGAGCCCTGCGTCGAGCTCCCTGTTCAGTGGGGAGTCTGCTCCTCCCTCTCCCTCTGCCTCTGCTCATGCTCTCTCTCAAATAAGTAAATAAAATCTTTAAAAAAGAAAAGAAAAAAACCAGATAAATTGAACTATATATCCACATAAAAATTTTGGGTTTCAAAGGATACTATGAAGAGACTAAAACAACAATCCACAGAATGAGAGAATATATTTGCAAATCATATATCTGATAAGGGACTTATCATCTAAAATAGGTAAAGAACTCTTTGTGTGCCTGGGTGGCTCAGTTGGTTAAGTGTCTGCCTTCAGCTCAGGTCATTAGCCCAGGGTCCTGGGATCCAGTCCCTCATCAGACTCCCTGCTCTGCAGAGAGTCAGCTTCTCCCTCTGCCCCTCCCCCACTCATTCTCTCTCTCTCTCTCTAATATTTTTTTTTAAAAAAATGAAGAACTCTTAAAAAAACAGCAATAAAAAGATAAATAACCCAATTGAAAAAAATTAGCAAAAAAAAGACAATTCTCCAAAAAACATAAACAAATGGCTAAAAACACACAAGAACATGCTCAAATCATTAGCTATCAGAGAAATGCAAATCAAAACCATGATGAGATACCCCTTCACACCCACTAGGACGGCTAGAATAAAAAAGACCACAAGTGTTGGCAAGGGTGTGAAGTTGGAAACCTCATACATTGCTAATGAGAATATCAGATGGTACTGTCGCTTTGGAAAACAGCTTGGCAGTCCCCAAAATGTTAAACATGGATTTACCACATGACCCAGTGATTCTGCTCCTCGGTATAGACAACCTATATGAACACATACAACCACAAAAAAACTCCTACATGAGTGTTCACAGCAGCATTATTCTTAAAAAGCAGAAACAATCCAAGTGTCTACCAATTGATGAACAGATAAACAGAATGTGTCATATCCATACAAAGGGATATTACTCAGCAATGAAAGGGAATGAAGTACTGATCTGTGCTACAAAGGAGATGACCCTGAAAACACAATGTTGCATAAAAGCAGCCAATCACAAAAGAGCACATAGTGTACTATGTGAAATGTACATGAAATATACATGAAATGTCCAGCACAGGTAAATCTACAGAGCCCTAAAATAGACAGTGGCTGCCTAAGGCTGCAGGGGAAGGAGGGGGAAGGGGTAGTGACTTGGTAATGGGTATAGGGTTTCTTTTGGGGCTGATGAAAGTCTTCGGAAATTGACTACGGTCTTGAATGCACAACTCTGCTGTGGACATACTAAATACCACTGAATTGTACACTTTAAATGGGTGCAGGGTATGTGAATTATATCTCAACGCGGCTGTTGTTGTTTTTTAAGTCCTCAGGGAAGCACATCATCTGTAACTGCTAATGGATTTTAGTGAACGGTTATGGAGCTGGGGCTTCAGCTCCCAGAAGCAGCCACTTCATTAGAACAAAACAGAAATAGCTCGCACACTACTCCTCCTGCTGCTTCCTCACCCAGTTTTGTTAGGTTTCCTTTAGACCTCTTTGTACTCCTTCCTTGGTTCCCTTCCAGTGCTTACCACAGTCTGTGATTATCTCTGCTTCTGAGATTCTTTGTTTAATGCCTACTCTGTGAGCTCCATGAGGGCAGGACCATGTTTGTTCATCTCTGTATCGCTGGTGTCCAGCAGCATCTAACGGTTGGTTCTCAGCTATTTGCTGATTAAATGCACATCCAGCACCCAGTCAACCAGGTCCAATTAGACTCAATATTTTCTCCTGTTACCGGATCAAAACACCTCACTGGTTTACAAGCTGAGACTGTTTCACTCAGTTAGGGTGTCACCAGGTTGAGTACCAAAGAAACAAGCATGGGCCTGTGCAGGGGTGAGGAGAGGCACAGGGCGGGGAAGAGTAGGGGAGGCCCTGGCAGGGGGAAGGCACAGATGCTCAGACGGGAAGACAAACTTACTTTTCTAGGTTGGCCATCTGCTTCACAGCTTCCACAGCCCCTGGCAGAGGCTCCAGGTCAAGAAAGAAATTTTCTGATTCCCATATGCTAATGGCCTTCTCCTAAGAAGACGAGAGAGAAGTGGATGACTTCAGGGGACTCAGCACATTGCCTCATCACAGGGACGATGGCGCAGCTGGGAAGAGCTGTTGACAAGAAGAGTGTGAGCCTTCCACGTTCCTCCCCCAATACACACACACATACCCAAGGTCATATCCTGGGGGGACTGGGGAATCACATGGGAGCATGTGTGTGTTCCAGCCCCTCTCCAGGGGCTCTGACTTCTGCAAAGATCCAGTAGAGAACAGCTAAGGGGTCAGGAGCTATGGATCCCAAAGCCTCCTTCTCCTTGAGGCATGGCTAGAGCCATCTGGGACCAAAGGCAAGTCATCATGAATCATGCGCTTGCTTGATTCTAATGGCCAGAGACATCGCAGAGGCTCTGGGGGTGGACCTGGTCTTGCCATGGCCCTGAAGTCCTTAAATTCAAGAGCTGGAGAAACTCAGAGATTCTTAAGAGCACTGCTGTGCCATGTGGGGTAAGGGGGGCCAGGGAGGGCGGGTGGAAGGCCAAACGAGCAGAACTCCAGGTTCCTCACCCGTATCAACTGGAACAGCTCTGGTATCTGTCTTATGCATTGGTATGTCATTAAGTACTTTGTTTAAAAAGTATTCTGCAGCTTTTAAAGTCTGAAAACCAAAAATCCAGACTCTCATTGTTCATATGAGAAAATCAAGGCTCTGAATGGGGAAGAGATTTACTCAGTGCCACACAGCGGAACAGTGGCATTACTGAGAGCTGAACACCATCTCCTGACTCCGAGGCTACAAGGTTCTACCTTTTGTCACCAGCCTAAAATCAAGTTTGCAGAATGCCACACTTTTCCAGGCCCAGGACAAGGGGAGGGGAGACAGGCCCTGGCCTCCGAGGAACAGGAACCTACATCCCATGTGTGCAGCAGGAGCTGTCTCTCCCAGGTCAGAACCCGCACACTCTAGAACAAGCACCACCACCATGTCCCACTTAGAGGCGGAGCGCCCCGAGATCACACTGGCATTATTCTTGTGAACTATGTGGGCTGAAGCAAAGGAGTACTGATAGTTAATATATGGTCTCTCTTGTTTGACCCTCACCTCCCACAAGGGGCAAGAATCACTATCCCCAGTTTACTGATAAGGAAACAGGCTTACAGAGGATTGTTTTCAAGGCCACTTATGGGTGATACTGTCAGAACTTGACTCAGGGCTTCTGACTCACCCAGAGGCAGGGGGAGACGGGGGGAAAGTGTACTTGACAGAGGAGTAAGAGGTCCTGGCCCTGGCTGTGTGATCTTGACCTCACCACCTTGCCTCAATAATCAGCATCCCGGCATCCCCTCCCTCCTTTCGTCACTAACTTGGCTCTGAAACCCTGATCAAGGCACTTCTCTCTCTGGGCTGAGTTCTTCAACTGTCCTAACAGTGTAGGATTCTAAGTCAGTTAAAATGAGCTTTGCCTTCCACCTCTGCCCTGATTACCTCTGCAAGCCCTGTGAAGATCAAAGGGGTTACCGAGAGAGTGATATTTTGTAAAGCAGAAAGGCTTACATAATCAAGGTGGGTTGGTTCATTGGTTGTTTTTACCTGTAGGTGCCGGGCCAGCTCAGCCAAGGGGAGACCCAGGGATGTCCTGCTGTGGGCTATGCTGGGGACACAGGGCATGTGTTCATCTATTAAAATCCTGTTTGCTGCAATGCTCCCAGAAGCAGAACTCAGCAGGTCACTCCCAGAACACTGCATCCTTAGTGTCCCAAGAACGCCGTTCCTTTGCCTAGTCCTTAGAAAATGGTAAAATTATCTCCTTAGATGTGGAGTCTGCACATCTGTACAAAGGAGTTCAAAAGCCACTGTCCTTTTCAGAGTTGGGGGTGGGCTTTATTTCCTCACCCCAATACACTCCTGGGAGGAAATAAGGGGCCCAGACTGCCAATACTGTGCACTGTCTATAAATGAACAGCCACATAGAGCAGGGGAGTCTGTTACGAGACCGCAAAAATTACTAGGATATTCTCTCCAGCTTGAAGTCGGTAATCAGGTATTAGAGCTGGGAGAAGTGAGCACACAGAACTCGGAGAAAGTTACCTTCTGAAGTGCATGGTGTTGATGAAGAGCTGTGGTGCTTGGTTTTCTTTCTAACACTTGCCTCTCAACAAACCAATTATTGTCAAGTTACTTTTTTAAGTCAAAAGATGTGTCACTTGTTAGAGCAGGACAGAGAACAGGATTTTGGGGGTGGGGAAAGCTAAATGTGCTTGGGAAGGCAGACAGACTTGGGCTGGAATCCTAGCTGAGCCCCTTACTAGCTATAGGACTTGGGACAAGTTTCCTCATCTGCATCATGAAGATAATAAATGTCTACCTCACATGGGAGACAATGCAGTCAACCTGTGGATACAAAATAGGCTCGAATATTATCATCATCACACTTCTGGTGGTGACCTTGGGCGGCCAATCAAGGGATGCCAGAAAACATCCAGCCTCTTTAAGTTTGTGCAAGGCAAAATCCCGTTCCTTTCCCGAAACAGTTTAAACTCACAAACTAAGCCATCTGTCTATAAACATGCCTGGATATTTCCCCTCCATCCATCCTGGACTCAGACAGCAAAGCACAGCGGGAGACAGGGGGATGCGGTGGGCTCAGGTTCAGCAGGGCCACCAAAGCAAGAGGATAAACCAAGGAGTTGAACCCACCCCATCTTGACCACTGACTCATTGTGTGATGTCCAGAAAGTCACTCAACTTCGCTGGGCCTCAAATACTGGGAGCTATGCATTCATGGAAAAGGACAAAAAAGAACGGTAAAGACACTCATCAAATTAGTGAGCATGAAGAAATGGGCATGTGACTGTGGCAGGGGTGAAAGAGGACTTTACTTGTAACGTTTATTTCATTTTAAAAAATTTCAAGACTTGCGGCCAAATGCACCAAAAATTAAAGAGTCAGCTAAAGATAGAAGAGTTCGTATTTTACGCCTCATATTCTCCCGACTTTTGAGAAGCCCTCGATGACAGCCAACAGTTCCTGAGCGCTGGGCTGCGCAGGGCGCGGCGGCCCCGGTCCTCCCCGGCCACCACCACCACCACCACCCCCCGCCCGTTTTACGAAAGGACCACCCCGAGGCTCGGGGAGGTGACCCCCACCCAAGGTCACGCGGGCTCCCGGCCCAGGGCTGGGAAGGAGGGCCGCAGTCCCGCCGGGCTCGGGTGGGCTCGGGGCCCCCCAGAGCGGGAACGGGGCCCCGGCGCGGGGGATGCTCACGCTCAGGCCGGGCTGCAGGAGGCCGTACTGCTCGGACAACCAGAAGCCGCGCCGGTCCTCCAGGGCGATGAAGGGCTGGTCGGGGAAGCGCGCGCGGAACTTCCTGAGGAAGCCGCCCTCGAAGTCGGCCAGCACGCCGTCCATGTCCACCAGCACCCGCAGGGCGCGGCCGCACCCCCGGCCCGCCGG